CGAGGAGGACGAGGACGGGCAGCAGGACTACAGCGAGTCCAACGGCTTCACCACCTACAACGAGACGTCACGACGTCTTTCCGACCTGCCTCCACTGCCGACGCCGTCGCCGGCCATGCAGCCAATCGTCGAGATGGACTCCTCGAGTGCGCTCGTGTCCAATGGCGAATGCAAATCTGGTCAGGCGGACAACTCGGGGTGCTTGATAAAAGTTTTCTGCGACACAACAGAAGCCGCCCTCTGAACGCACGCTTTATCACTTGCTCAGCTCACCTTCACGTGTAACGGAGAGACTTTAGTGCTCTTTCCATTTCCAAAACGTGTATATTTAATTGATCTGTACATGTGTTTTTATAATTCGTCATGCAAAATAAAGATTTCTATGAGAAACCCGAATCTTGCCCCTTATATGGATGCCGTTCGGCTTTGACGCCCTTGATCCCGGGCGAACGCCCACTAGTGTTGGACAAGGAAGTGAGTGGACGGGGAGCACATGGGGGAAGGCATGACTGATTGCGGGAAGATCAGGAGAGAAACAGAGATGTAGAAGACGACGACCTGGGACGGTAGGGGTAGGAGAGGAGAGGGAGCGACAGCGCGGTGAGGAAGAAGGGAGTTCGCACGCTTTGCGTAGTGGTGCCGTTGAATAATGCAGGCGTTGGCATGCGGAATGCTGCTACGACGACACAGCACTCGCACTGATATCCGACCAAAAGATGAGCTCATCCGACCTAAGCACCCCTCTTTGAAGTGCACGAAGTGTCGAAGTTCAAAGTGAAAAGCTAGGCGCCACACCACGGCCGCGGGGAGAATTACTGTATGCGATTTTTTCGTCGCGCACAGGGAAGATTTGCCGACTATGGCTAGGGATACTGTTACCTGGGGCCGTAGGCAGAATTACCCAGCCGAGGATGAGCCTCCAAAAACTGTATCTTTTGGGCGCCTCCTACACTTGACCATAGGTACCTTGGGGCAGGTCATCTCTTAGAGATGCAGACCTTTGTGGATCCCATCCCCGACCGGGTACTGAATACGGTCCTGGAAGGTGCAACCGTAACTTGGAAACCAGTTTGCAGGATTGCTCTCCCTCTTCTTTTGTGGCTCATTTGTGGCTCAGGGGATCCAAAATTGAACGTTTCTGGAGATTTAGTGGTACAAAGTTTGACATCTAATGTACTCCTCCAAAAAGCAGCAAGCATGACTCAGCTCTTTGTGATGCGCCGTGCACTAGACATGCTTTCAAACTCGTAACTTGAACGCGGGCTTTGTTGGATTGAGAAATGTCACCTTCAGCCAATGTTTACGTCAATCACTCAAGTTTAGGGCCTTACAGACAAGCTTTTAGGGCGACTAGCCGATTTCGGCAAACAATACTAAGAAAAAGCCTTTTGACGAGCTCTTTCCTAGGAACAGTGCAAGCGTCAACTCTTGGCTACCTCAACAATGCTACCAAACAGGGAATCGCAAAAAAAGGCTCAACAAAGCTAAGAGGAAACTCCGCGCCTTTCGCAAATGTAAAAAAACCATATCCATGATTTCAGCAATTATTATCGATTTCTCAAGTAAAAACAACCCACTCAATAATGACTTCTGTTGAGATTTTGGTGTGTGCTTCTTGTTCATTCGGACGGCGATCTCCAACATTAAGATCATGCAAATGAACATCACTACACTTTGCGCTAACAACGCAAGGTCGAATCGTTTGCCAAACCTGAAAAAAAGGGATTTTATGAATGCAAAATTCCTAAACTTCCTCCAAAGGCATGTGGCGCTAAAATTCAGGGATACGTGAGGAAAATCCCCTCATAGAAGAGTAACAAACACGACGCTAATCAATTTCGCGAACTTACTACCACCCATACTATCTCTACCCAGAGCCACGGAGGCAGCTTGAGCATGACCTTCCCAAGCGTCAGCAATTTTTCAGAAACCTCATAACTCCTCTCCCAGGGGTCCCCCGCACGCCTCTCCCTCTTCCCGCCCCCGAACAGCATCCACCACCCTCACCATCATAGCTGCTTCTACGGTATCAGATTCTAAATTTCCCCTGAAGCTTCCATCAAGAGAGCCTGAGGTGGTATGCGAATGGTCCGTCGATTCATGAGCCAATTTCTTACTCATTCTGAATAAATATGTTAGGTTAACCTAAGACTGAGCCTGAAAAGGGGCTCACATTCCCCTGAGAATCCTTTCCCCATCCTTATGAGGCATAGTCCCAAGTTGCGTAAGTGACCCACTCGCTCCAATGTCCTCCCTAACGATATGAGCGCCACAGTTATCATATGAACCCCGTCGATAATTGATATACTTAAGACCATACAAAGGAACAACTTACTCCCTACTCACCAGAACAATATCCTGAGGATGTTCGCAATGCATAACGCCAGGCAAACGAACAGTGAGAAGCCCTGGGCGTTCCGTCGATGGTGTATTTCCGAGTATTGGAAAATGTAAGGGATTGAACCACCGACTGGAAATAAAATCTCGAAGCCAATGGCAACTAAATGTAGGGTAAAAGAGAAATAGAAA